ACCATGGAAAAGGCTCAACAGGAAGCATGAGACAACTTTCTCAGCACTCCCCTGGAAACCAAACGCAGACAGAAGAGTCTGGGAGTCCAAATTTGGGCAGCAGTAAATATCACAGCAAACAGGATGCAAGCCCCAGGTTTATCTCTGCTCAACAGCATTCACTAAGTGTCCCCGGGACTCAGAACGATTTATCTTCACCTAGAAGTAATTATATGATCACATCACCATTTGGATCTGCAAACCACTGTATAATCAACAAAAACATCCCCTTCTTTGGAACAAGTTAAGCAAAACTGTGGGAAATGCCACACATCTTATTTACTCCCCCATAAGCCCCACTTTAAGTATCAAGTTTCTTGGAGTGCAAATTGTTTGGGTGGGGCCCATATGTGCCATGTCAAGTGATTCTGCTGTGCCTACCAGATGATAAGACAAAAACGTCTAGACACAACTGCTAGCTAAGATTGACCACTGTGGGGAAATTACATTATTGACACATCACGCATACAAAACCCTGGGGGGTAAGACAGCTAACACCACGGGCGGCCAGCCAGTAAGAGTTTTAAGTGTGGGAAAACGGGCTCTAGATTAAAATGTTCTATTTTGTTAAAAATCAGCTTTCCTCTCTCATTGCATAAATGCTTTTCCATGAGAGAAGGAGTGAGGGAAAAGAAAATTCTCCCCAGGTGGTGTAGCCAGGTGTAGAGTGTTTAAAGAGGGTTAACCCAACACAGATCACTTCGTGAAGGCCTCGAGTCCTGTGCAAATCCACTCAACCAAATGCATGAAGGTCCAGCGAGTGCCAGGATCCGAGTAAAGAAAACCACAGAGGAAGAAAGTACCTGCTTCCAGGGAGCTCAGAGTCTCACAGCAATATCCAGAAGTAATACTGAAAACGCGACTCCACACCCAGGGCTGTAACTGAAGACGGCCCGTTGAGACAGGACCAAGGCAGAAAGGTTAAATCACATTCTAGAATTACAAGGCAAAGCTAATGAAAGGTCAACTCTTCTTGGGTTCTCCGTTTCCTTGCCAGTGACTCTAAAGAACACAGGCACTGGGGCATGCAAAGGAAATTTCTAGAAGGAAAAGCAAACTTTAATAGGCAAGAGATTTAAGAACTAAGCAGTGGGGCTGGGGTTGTGGCTCAGTGGTAGAGTGCTCGCCTAGCCCATGCGAGGCCCTAGGTTCGATCCTCAGAACCACATAAAAATAAGTAAAATAAAGATATTGTGTCCAACTACAACTAAAAAATAAATATTTAGAAAAAGGTGAGGAGCACACAAGGTCTTCATGAGAGTCCAGGGTAGGATGAAAACATCTCATTTTAACACCTAGGAAGCACCTACTGTTCTGGCTGGAGGAGTGAAGATTTGACTCCTAAAAATAACGATAAAAGGGGGAGAAAAGGGGGAGTTATCTTAAATTAATTATCTTAAAAATAAGAATTAAACAGACAGGAAAGCCTAAAGAAAGGATGGCAAACTCACCAATGTCTACAAGGGCCAAGGTCAAGAACGTGACCAAGATTAAAGGGCCCGGTGGGGTCTGTGGCAAACCAAGGAGCATCCTCAGTCTTTGTTTTTTAAAGAAAAAGGTGAGAAACAAAGTTTACATTCTGACTCTCCCAACTTTTAAAAACTGAAAATATTTTTCTTTTGTTTCTCTTCAAAATAGGATGCAAGCCAAACAATTTATGAATATGTCTCATGCCAAAGTCTGGCCCACAGGCTACCAGTTTGAGACCCTCATGTTAGAGTGGGTGGAAAAAAATGTAAACAGTTGGTGACCTTGAAAGCTAAAGGAACAGTAAAGACAGATGTTGCGTAGGCTTCTGACTGAAGCCTGGGGGTAAATGAATGAAGTACTCGGAAAAATAAATAAAGTGAATGAATCAATAAAATGATCTCCAGAGGCCCGGGGCATTCCACTCACCACAAACATCTGCACAGCACTTTAGAGTTTCTATAGCTTTTCCCCTCAACAGCCCAAGAGATAGGTGTTGCTGTCATCTCTATTTTAGAAGGGAAGAAATTCTAATCAGAGCATTTAAACAACTTACCTGTGGTACCACAGCTACAGCACCAGAACTCCAGCCTAGGACCTGTACTTTTCCAGAATCGCAAAAGGGAGCACTTTGGGATACCTCTGTCAACTTTTTGTTGAACAAAATAGTGTCCCTAGAGGACACATTCCAAAACCCCAGTGGATGCCTGAAACTGCAGGTAGTGGCAAACCCTGTATACACCATACTTTTTCCTATGCGTACATACATATGATAAAGTTTAACTTATGGAGTAAGCATAGTAAGAGATTAACAATAAAACATAAGTGCAACAATATACTGTAATAAAAGTTTGCACGTTGGAGCCATCAAGTAAAATAAGGGTTAAAACTAAACACAAGTACAGCAATGCTGTGACAGCCCATCCAATAACCTTAATGGCTACTGGGTGATTAATACACAGGTAGTATATACAGTAAGGATCCATTAGATGAAGAGATGATTTGATCTTGAGCAGGACTGACCAAAACAGCACAAGATTGTACCACACTGCTCAGAGGGGTGCATGATATAAAACATGAATTTCTTATTTCTGGAATTTTCCACTTAATACTTTCCAACCATGATTGATTGTGGTTAACTGAAACTGAGGAAAGTAAAACCACAGATTAGGGGGAGATACTGGATAGATTCCTAGGCCCTTTCCCTGGTGATTCTGACACATTAGGCCTGAGGTTTGGTATAGAAATATGTACCAAATTTCTTCCTGAAAATCTGATGTACAACCAGGCTAAATAATTCTGGTCTAGATCAATGGTCTCAACCACGGGTAATTTTGTCCCCCATTCCCCTGGAGATGTTCAGCATGTAGGGAGACACATTTGATTGTCACCCCTGTTGGGGGTAAGGGCAGAAAGTGCTATGAGTGTCTAGTGGGTAGTTACCAAGGCTGCTGCAAAACATCCTACAGTGCACAGGACGGTCTCACAACAAAGAATTCTTCAGCCCCAAATGTCAACAGAGCCAAGGCTGAGAACCTGCTTTAAAACCCTTGTGACTGGGAACTCACACTGGAGGCTGAGAATCAGCCCAATCAACATCACCTGGGAGTGTGTTAGATGTTCAGGCCCCAGTCCAGCCCCAGTGACTGGCATTCTGTGGTGTAGTAGGACTTCCAGATGATTGGCGGGCACTTTGAGAAGCATGGCTCCTGAGCATGCTTCCTTAGCCATGGTGGAAGGGATCCTCAATGGCAGGCTGGTCTCACTGGTTTATAGATAGGAAAACTGAGGTCTAAAGTAATTGAGCAAGCTGCTCACGGGCCTGGAGCTAGCTCATGTCAGAGCTGAATCAGAGTCCAGGTCTCAACTCTCTGACCTGCGTTATCTCCCAGATGTTAACTAGGACCCAACACGGGCTCATTCAACAACTCTGCTCTGATGGAAAGCTGATGCTGACCTTGGAAGGTGTGTATGTGTGTGTGCGTGTGTACATGTGTGTGAAGTGGGTGAAGGATGAGGGTTTCTTTTTGATGCCTGAAAGAACTCTATTGTTCTGCTGGTGAAGAATTAAAAACAAAAAATTATCTCAAACACCATGGAGGATTACCATGTTTACCCACTAATTTTGCCTCCAGATACTTTACAAGGAAAACAGTTTTACCGCTCCCCAGTGGGGGGGCCAGCAGTCAGCAAGATGCAGCCAAAGCTCTCCAAAATGACGGCAGCAGCCAGTGCGGTCTCCCCCAAAGACATCTGGAGAATGATGCTGAACCAGTTCCAAAGGAGGCTTTAGAATTAAACAGCAAGCGTAAAACGGTTTACCCCCAGGATTTACGCAGCTGAGGTCATGAGCAGGTTGTGACAGGGTCCGAAGCAGCTTAGCTCAGACTAATACAGACACACATCAGAGCCAGGGGGAGATTTCTGCCCCCGGCCCTTGGGAAGAAGACAAAAACAAATTCTCTGAGCTATTCTTCCAGGATCCACTTACATTGACATAACTCCAGGGCCCTAAACCAACCGCCAAAGGAGCCCAAACCAGTCCCTTAATCCTTGTATTTGCAAGAAACCCAACTGCCCTAAACCAAACACAGAACTCAATCAGGGTTGAAAAGAACCAGAAAAGTTGGAGAAAGTTCTGTAAGGAGGGAAGCAAGCAGAGAAGCAAGAAATTGGAGGTGTTTGCTGTGTTTGGCAACAAAGTGAAGACTGAATACTGATGGGTAGGTGAGAGATTGAGTGACAGTGTGACCCCTGTCCCTTCCCAGGCCAGTGCTAATAACTCTCTATATTCAAAATTGAAGAAAGGGAAGGAGGATGAAAACCCAGAGAGAGAGAGAGATACACAACAAGTAAATACATGAGCTTATGTACCACATAATTCCATGCAAAATAAACTGCACAAATAATTATGATAGGTCAGATAGCGGCAGATAGTGGCCACCATTCTTCCCACAGTCCATGGTCAAAAGAGGAAGAGCAACCTGATGTGTCCCATCCCTCTCCACAGCCCTTCTGGATTCCATCTGAGCTCCGCAGAGGCTGCGGAGCTGGCTGAACATACCCATGAGCCTCTGTTTCTTATGGAAGCCAATGTATAATGTATAATAATGTCATGTATTTTCCTGCTATAGAAATGTAATATTTTTAAATGGAGGGACAGAGACTGTCCTCTATACATTTGAAGAATAAGTAAGGGTCTCTAAAAATTCTTGACTCTGTTACAGCTGGAAATATCGCAGTTAAAATAAAAGTCAGCTTAAGTTTAATAGGACTTTAAAATTCCTAGTTGACAGTAATTAGAGAGCGAGAAGTATTTCTTTAAACTCTGCTAGAGAGAACTTAATCCAATTTAGGTAATCACTAACCTTTGCTTTTTCGTCTCTCTCTTTCTCTCACCCTTCAATGAAATCCAAGGATTGATCTACAAAGGCCATAAACTGGCAAAGCATAAGAAAAGAATATTTAAAGAGAGAGATTGGAATGACTCTTACCTCAAAGGGCCAAGTCCAATTAACACGGAAGCAGGTCCCACGGGCTCTCTAATTTAGGTGGACTATAAGCTGGCACCAAATAATAGGAGGTCTTCTGAGGAAAGAGGAGGTACTCCTGATTTTTCCTCACTGGGAGCCTCATCCAGCACATTGATCAACAGGTCTTGTTCTGCATGTGACCACTGTCCCTTCCCAGGCCAGTGCTAGTCCTCTGTATTCACAGTATCTTCAGGCTCGGTGTCTCCTTTCATGGAACTGCTGTAAGAAGTATCCAGACCGTTGCTTCAGCCCCCATTGTTCCACCATCTCCTATCCCCTCATTTTAGACTTTTCACACTGCTCTGGCTTTGACTTCTGATCTAGAAACTTCCATGTGAATCATTAGGACCTTCTTGAGAACTTAGGACACTGGGTTCTTCATGAAAGGCTTTCAAAGGTACATGTCAAAATGGACTGGAGGCTGGTATGGTGGAACTTGCCATAATCCCAACTACTTGGGAGGCTGAGGCAAGAGGATCTCAAGTCTGAGGCCAGCCTGGGCAACTAGTGAGACCCTGTTTCAAAATTCAAAATTAAAAGGGCTGGGAATATAGATCAGTGGTAAAAGGTCCTAGGTTGTATCCCTAGGATCAGAACAAACAACTATGTTAAGAAGAATGAGAGGCTTAAGGTAATGACTGTGTGACACTGGGAAAATAACAAGGCTCTCTGAGGCTGTTTTCTTATCCTAATACAGATAAAATAATATCTACCTTCCCAGATTGTTGAGAGGCTGAAATACCATTACCATACCTATACCCGGCTCACTGTAATTACTCAATAAATTAGCTCTTTTGTTCTAATCATTCAAGTTTAAAGGAAACCTTGATCCCCAGGCCCTACTGAAAATTTGAATTAACTCAAGGTGGCCTCTGATGGTCTATTACTGTCTTGCATCCTCTAGACCAAGAGCCTCCTTCTAGGCTCCAATGTGGAATCTACCCTTACAAAACAGCGCCTTCTGCTTATCAGGTCCATTCTGCTCTCTCTGTTCCAAATTCCAAACCTCGTGTCCTGTACAAAATCCACAAAGTATCATGCTCCAGAATTTCATCAAGTCAGATATCAATTCACACACTGGCTTATTGACAGATGATCATATCTATAAGCATTGCCTTTAACAAGTATTCACATTTTGCAGGCAACTCTGGGATAAACCTTTCATGATAGACATTATAGGGCCCTTTCAGAGGAATCTCTATGCTATTTCTCAAAATCTAGCCCTGAAAAAAGGATTAGGAAAAAAGTTCACAATTTAAGAAAGATTCCTGCATATTTTATCTGTATGAGGGTAGTACAAAAAGAATGAAGCCAAGGAAATAGGTACCACATACACACCTACAAATCATTAGGATGGAGAAATCTGGAAAAAATAGGTTAATTTAGTGAACATACTTTAAGTCAACAAGCAAGCTAAGTAGTATGACATATAGGTCTGAACCGTCAGCAAGAAATTTTCAAATACTCAGTGTAACTATTCTAAAGACAAGATTGGGGGCTTTTTCAATAATTGTGCCACTTTGTGATATTTCTTGATATTAAAAAGATAAATAAAAGTCCACCAATGCAATCACCTATAAGATGATCTAATCAACAACTGGGGAATCAAGACATCTCCAGTCTCTAAGCCTGGAGTAACAACTCGAAATCCATTTTGAGTTCCATGCCCGTGTGTGGAGCTTAGACAAATTATTTAAATTCCCTGAGCCTCAGTGAGCTCACCTATAGAATAGAAATGTGATAGTGCTTACATCAGTTTTTCAGTGAGGATCATAGGTTATCAAAGTGCAAAATTTGGTATAGTAAGATCTGGAGAGGTGTTCGTAACTCCCCCCCCCCCCCCCCGCCTTTTTTAAAGAAGGGGAATATTTTTGTAATGCTCCAACACAGAACATTATTGAAATCACACCCTTTGAAATAAATATACATCATGGCTCTCTGGACAAAGAAATGAGGCCCCACTCTTGAGAAACACCCTAAACAGAGGTAAGAGCTAGTCTAACTGACCTATTTCTGGTGCCTTTCTTCCTTTATACATGAATAGTTCCAGCTGTTGGCAACATCTCTCTCTCTCTCTCTCTCTCTCTCTCTCACACACACACACACACACACACACACACACACACACACACACAACCAAACCTGAAAGGACTGTGTCTGAGGATGGAAAAACTGAAGACAACTTTGAGGATGGATGACCAAGCATCCCTTTCTTACCTGCAAGGTTACATTCGATGGAAACCATTCTCAACAGCTCCTTTAATCAATTCTAGGGCTCAATGTGGCCACCAGAGAAGACCAAACTGCCAGGTTCCACTGAGAGGAACCTCCCTCAAGTGCCCTGGGAATCTCAGCAGGGACTAACTTCAGAATGTGGCCAAGTTTGTTTCTGTGAGCTCCATTTCCCCTCCTGACCCACTTGGTGCTTCGTATTGTTAACAAAGCACCTTCCACCTCGAGAGACATTTACCAGAGCTCAGCACTATGACATTTTGCAGTATTTAGCCCTGAAATGTGAGGGCTGCAAACCTGCAGTGATCAGAATCGCCGAAGGGAGGTAAAAGGGGGGGGGCAGTCTCCAACTCATCTATCTGTATAATGGGGGTGCGACAGAAGGATGGAGGCAATCAGGACCGTGGCCTTCCGTGGACTGCTGTGATCCTTAAAAGGATCATCTGATTCTGCACATATTGCCTGGGCAACAGGTCCAGAGCTCCTCGCGAATAGGAATGCCCAGAAACTAGCCAAGCGCAGAGCTTTGTCCATGCGGGTCTCTGGAGCAGACAGTCTGCTGGACCGCCTCTGGTGAACCTCCCGTCTTGTGCGGCGCATCTCACTGCTGTAATTGAAACCTTGCACACCGCAGGATTGCAGTGGCGTCTATAAATACTCACTGCCTTACTGCTGACAAACAAAATGCGGGCTCCCGGCACCGCGGGGGAAGAAGCGGCGGCATGTGATCTAGGGCAGGGGACTGGTAGAGCTGGGGAAACCCCTACTGCCAACCAGGGAGGCACCCTATTTCTGAAGATGTTTGGGTCAACCCCGGGCGGCAGTCCTAGGAAGGGAAGGTCCGCGCCGCAGGGCTGGGGCTCCGGAGCGCCCCCTGCGCGCTGAAGCATGCCGAGCGCGCACAGTAGGCGCGAGAGGAAAGTGGTGGCCAAAGTGGTGGGAGCGCGAAAGACCAAGTCGAAACGGGACACCGGCGAGCAGACCACCGTGCGTCGGTCGGTCCCCCTGGGTCCTTGCCGCTGTCCTCCCCGGCTCCGTCTCCCGTGGGCTGCTCCCCTGTCCGCCCACTGCGAAGCGTGAGCGCCCAGCGGCGCGGGACAAAGTGGCTGCCTTCCCTCTTCTTCCACGCCACCTTCCAGAAAATAGGGGACTGCCTGAAAAGGGCTGTTTCGGGGGCTCTCAGTCTCCAGGGCCTGAGCATAGGCAGCTCACTAGATGGGCCCCGCCGGCCGAGGGAACCAAGCAACCAAGAAAACTTTCTCTTTCGACCTTTTGACTCAGTCTGAGTCCCACGACCAGCAGCATCCCCCAGCCCCACTCACAGCGATCCCTCGCCACCCGCAGGCACCGATCGCGGTCTCCCCCGTCCCAGCCCACACCTTGGTGGTCGCAAGTCTGGTCCCCTACGCCCACCTGCAGCGTCCGATCGAGGGATTCTTAACCATGCGGGGTCCCCACACTGTTGCCCCCAAAGGACGCTTTCCCCCTACTCCTTCCACCCCCGTCCCCCTCCTGAGAGTGCGCGGCGATTTTCTTCTCGATCCTGGGCCGTTTCTGAGCCTAGGACTGCGGCCCCTCCCGGGGACTTCCCCACTCACCCCCTTGGGGTACCCGGCGTGAGTCACCCGCAGCCGCGCATACCCACCGCTCGCCTCTGTCCCAGACTCCGCGCGCCCGGGAAAAAGTTTCCGGTGTTAAGAAGAACGTTTTCTCACTGGAGACAGACGAGCGACCTGGACGGTTCTAGGCGCCGCGCTCTGCCTGCTCTGCCTGCCCTCCCTCGCTCCCTCCCTCCTCTCCCAGTCCTGCCCTCCTCTGCCTCGCGTCCAGCCTCGGCTCCTCTCCCGCGCCGAGTCCGCAAACGCTGCGGGCGCGGAGCTCCCAGCGCCGGGCTGGTGACACGTTTCCCTCCTCTCTCAGCTTACGGCCGCCTCCTCCCCGCCGTTCCTCCTCCCACTTTTCCTGTCCTGTTCACAAGGCTTTATTCTCTCTCCAGCGACCCCCGCCCCACTTCACCCCATTCCACTCCTCTAGTAGCGACTCTCACCCTGCTGGGTAAAGGGCGCGAGGGGGCCCCTGCGCTTAGATGCAATTCAACAATTTCAGGAAATCCAAGTTCTTTGACTTAAAAAGCCCGGGAGGATGCAGCACATCAAGGCAGCTCTGGGCTGCATTTCTTTCACCCAAGAGCAGCTCTGCCTCCCGCCTCTACCCCAGGATGAGAGACTGCCAAGAAGCCAAGAGGTGATTCTGGGGCTCGCTTTTGGAGCAGGGCCCAGCAGAACAGAGGTCTACAGACTGGAACTCTCTCACATACACACACACACACACACACACACACACACACTTTCTCCCGCTTCCTTCCTTCCTTATTTTTTCTTTCTTTTCTTTCTTTTTCTTTTTTAAAGGAAATGTTCCCAGACCCACTCCAGAAGTTGTTTTAAGTGCATTAGTGAAAATATAATTCAAGAGAAGTCTCTCCCTTAGGTTTGCAAAATTCGTTTCAAGCTCCCAAATCTCCAGCTGACTTTGTAACGAATTCGTCAGAGTCTGAAATCAACAGAAAACCAACCAATCTGAAAATTAAAAACAATGTAAAACTATTTTCAAAATGTTTTTCTCTTTGGCAGGTGTTACGAATTTGATGCAGCTGTTCGCAGGACTCAATGGCTTGCACAATTTCACCCTATGGTTGAGCAGGAAATACTTTTTAAATGCTGCCCGATCTCATATCACACTTAAGGCTTTGAAACCACAGTGACATTTGCTGAGGAAAGGATGTATGTTTCTTTTTTGGCCAAAACTGAGCATAATTTGATTTAGTTTGGGGCACTGTGACCTTACAAAACCAATGCCTTGGGGTTGCTCTGGGGGTGCTGCAGTGGATGAGTGTCTGAGCGGCTCACTTGCCCAGGGATATTAGATAAAGCTAAAGGATTCTCAAAACAAACTCTAGAATGAAGTGCCTTTGAATCTCACTCCAGGAA